CTATGCTGAAAACCTTTTTAATAACCACTTTTATACTAAAATCTGATTTTAACACAAATTAACAAGGAGTTCTCAAACGCCTCAATTAATGGACAAAAGTATGTATCATGGCATAAATCGGTTCGACTGAAATCAATATTTGAAATATGTTGTACATGGGGTCATATTAGAGGAATATTGATTTTAAAAGGAAAAAAGCATTGGGACAGTACAAAAATATATGGACAATAAAACAATGTAAACGTATATGTAAAACTTTAGGTGAATACTAATAAATATGTATTTGTCGCGTTTGGTAAGTTATGCGTAAGGAATCATAATCTCGTGATCACGTGTATAATCGATTGAATTATGGGTCAGTAAAGGATCAGGATCAGTCAGAAATTAAGAGTAATCAATTAATGTGCATGATAGAAATATATAATTAAGAATAGTCAAAATAATATATGATCCAATATGAGATAATGGGAATAGTAAAATAGTCGTATGATTAGTTATGATGCATTAATTATGAAGTAAAGTCAAAGGAGTATATGTGAGCGACACTATGATGTAATTAATATGTAGTCTAATCGATTGTATATAAAATAGTTAAGAGAAAATAAATAAAATTTATCTTTTTCGCTTTGTACAAATATCATATATTGAAAAACCCATAAAACCACTTTGGTTTGAACAAGTGGTGAGTTGCCTTGTTTTGTGGTGAGGAACCCACATAGTCACGAAGGACCATAACAGTATGTCAAAAATATGTCAGAAATAATTTTAATCGGTCAATCAAGCTTGTCATTAAGGTAGCTAGTTTATTACGTGAAAAAAAATTTTAAATAGTAAAAAATAATAAGTTTGCCGTTTCATTTAAAAAACTTTTTGTCCCTAACCACTTTTTTTTGCCCTGACTTATCAAAACTTTATAAATATTAAAAATAAATAAAGTATTGTTCAAGTGTTTTCATACCTTTATTATGGATTTTCATTATCGACTTATATTTTTTGTAAATTTTCGATTAACTATTATTTAGTGATCTATTATTGCAATTGAGCATCACTACAATTATTAAAAAATCATGATAATAGCAATGTTTTATTTGTATTATTGGCTTTTATTCAAAATGTTATGACAAACAGAATTTTTATCAATTAGAATACAACTGCCCAAAGCACCAGTATATTTTGGCAATAATTTTTTAGTTTAATTATTATAGATAGTAACTTCAATTATTTGCAGCCAGTTGGATTTATAATTACACTAACGCAATTCAAGACAATTGTTTCAAAAATTAACAGAATTTCTTGAAATAAACCATTTATTAGATAAGGAGCTAAAGGATCTAACAATTATCTATGAATTTTATTTAGCTTTTTGTGCACTTTTAATTTTTCGATTCTGCAATCAATATTGGCCCGAAGAAGAAAATTGTCTTTCACAATAATAAATAAGGAATTGTTAACCAACGGTTATTGTCTACACCGTTTCCACTGTCTGCGTGATGTTCTGTAGCCTGCACATTTACTACGTATATATCTTCTTGATACATACAATGTACATATACCATTTATGGTATAAATTTTGCAGATTGCAGCTTTGTTGTTCGATTACGCGATTGTGTGAAGTTGTCTTTGTATTGAATTTTATTAAGAAAAATCGCTTAACTAATTTATATTGAGCTGCGATCTGCAAAATTCATCAAAATATACATTATTTGCAAACAACGATAACAATAAGCATAAAATCAGTTTTAATAAAGAATCAGCAGTTAATATGAAAGCTGTGCATTGCTTTAAAAGCAAAAACAAAATGTGTAGCTATTTACTGTAATATAACAATTTATTTCAAATTAAAAATTGTTATGCATAATAGTCAAGTAATGCAGATAATGTGAATAGAGTAACCAATATATTAATTTTATTTTAATTAAAATGAATCATATCTGTGCATTAAATACAAGTTTCAAGAAAAAAAATTTTGTATACAATTACCTTTAAAAATTGAATCATATCAGTGTATTGAATACAAATTTCAAGTATACAATTACCTTTAAACAATTTAAATCGTACATTTCCAAACACCCAATGTACTAATATAGTGCTAAATAATATAGTTTCTGAAACTATAAATATAAGATAAAAGCAGACGGCAGTATCTTTATTTTGTACAGTAAACATGAACGAAATAAAAGTTACAAATCGCACTTACAATGAGGAATCAAATACTAGCCTTGAAAATCAACTGGATACTAATAACACCAACGAACAGATATCTTCTGATGAACCTGATGAACCTGATGAATTTGATGAACTTGATGAACTTGATGAATGTAATAAATGTGATGAACGATCAGCCATATCTAGCGATTCTACATCATTCTCTAATGCATCAAGTAGAAGCACTGTCTGGAAGCACTTTCATAGAAGACCTTCATATGCACCAAATCACAATGTTTGCAAATATTGCCATCCTAGAAAAAAATACAAAATAACAACTGGCTTATCAACTTTACGGGCCCATCTTATATCCAAACACCAGTTAGAAGTTCCTACTAAAAATTATAATCTGCAATTTAGTGTAAATCCTTTTGACTTACAAACACAAAAAGAGCATACTAAATACCTTTTAAAGTGGATCATATGTGATCTTCAGCCATTTACTATCATTGACAATAGCTATTTTTGGTCATTTATTAAATTTCTTTGCCCACGTTATACAATTCCTAAACGACATCAAATAAAAGATTTAGTAATGGATGAATTTAATTATCGACAACCCAAAATTATAGATAAACTTAGCAATATTCCTGAGAAATGTTTGTTAACAGCCGATATCTGGTCTTCAACTGTCAATAGAGAGGCTTTCCTTGGGCTTACAGTTCATTATATCGATTCTAATTGGCAATTACAAAATTTTTTGCTTGATTTAATTCCGTTTAACATTAGTCATTCAGGTGGGGGGTTTTTTTTTTACTTACCCAATTTTTTTTTTTTTTATTACTTGATTTAATTTTTTTTTTTTTTGTGTAATTATTTTCAGGAGTTAACATTTCACATGCAATCTTAAACACATTGAATGAATTTCATATCCGTAATAGAATTATTGCACTTACCACAGATAATACTTCGGCCATATTAGTATGTGGAGAAGAGATTGCCAAGAGTCTCGAATCAGTATTTTCATCAATGGTCTTTTCACACTATAGGTGCGCTGCGCACGTTCTAAATATAAGTGCAAAGTATGGCTTAAAGTTAGTTAGTGACCTAATCAATAACGTTCGAGCGTTGATGGTAAAAATAAAAAATTTAGCATCTCTTAGCCGTGAGCTCAATTGCTTTTGCAACTTAAAGGGAATTCCAAATCTTAGACCTGTTATAGATATAGAGACAAGATGGAATTCGAGTTCCTATATGTTAGAACGTATATGCAGACTTAAGCCTGCTTTAGCTTTACTTGTAGCGGATAATCCAACTATCAAAAAGTTATATCCTACTAAAGAAGATTGGGATGCAATAAAAGTAAATAAATTTTTAAATAATAATTGTATTATATATATAAATTTCATTTTTTAATTATTTTATTATAATAGGATACCCTTCTAGTTCTTGAACTATTAGAAAAAGCCACTGTACACCTTTCCGCATCATCATATCCAACTTTAGGCGATACTCAATTTATTTTTGAAGGAATTCAAGGATGCCTAAAAAAGGTTATTGAAGAAGAAAATTTTACACAACACGAATTAGCAGAATCGATATTGCAAAAACTCTCTGAATACCGTGACAAAATGGACCAACTATCAATTACTTCAACAATCTTAGACCCCTATATCAAACTTTCAGTTTTTTCAACTCAATCAATGCAAAATGCAAATAATTAAATTAAATTTGTTTTTAATAAATACTTAAAAGACACGACCAATATAACTGCATCATCTAACAATAAACTGAATTCTGATATTAGCAATACTCGACATTACTTTTCACAATTTTTGCGCTATGAAGTACCTAGCAATGAACTCTCTAGTTCAACTGCCTCACTATTATCAGAATTAAACCGATATATTGCATTACCTGAAGACAAAGAAGAAATAAACTCTCTTTCCTAGTAGCAAGCACACGCTAAAGAATACCCAATTTTAAATAAAATGGCTCGGGATTATCTCTCAATTCAAGCAACTTCTGTTGCATCTGAACGGGTATTTTCCATCACCGGAAACACAATTACTAAAACAAGAAATCGACTATCACCAGAGACTGCAAGAGCAACACTCTGCATGAAAAGTTAGATAGTTAATAATGTAGGGAAATAAAATTACTAGATTTTTTAGACAACAGAATTTTAAATTTATACGTACTATATATAGTAGCTTTTTTGTACGGGTCTTTCTTCTTGGGAGAAAAAATTTACTCTAATAGATTAAATATATAGAATATATAGAATATATACCTGATATATACATAGAAATATATGAATATTATATGTTATATGAATATTATATGAATATTATGAATATTATAGATAGGTCGATCAAAACTGAACATTATTAAAATAAAGGACCAGATATATTTGTATAAGCAAGATTTCTTCCAAAGTTTCTGCCAAATTATAGATTATAAGGATCTTGTTTGCACAGGTCCTAAAAAAAAAGTTCTTCTAATGGGTATTTAATTTCAAATATATAGTTAACCTGATACTATACATATATACGTACGTACATACGTAGCTAATAGTACAATAGTAGTGCATGATCAGCTCACATTGTGTCACGTTATATGCGTAGTTATAATAACTATGACGTGCTTTAGTTCTTTACAAATTCACATTTTTGGTATTTACTCTTCTCGAAATTTGGAATAAAACATGGAATCTATTAGGAATAATGATAAATTGTTAATTTTGTAAATATTACGATCATTTACTTAATTTTAATCCAATTATATAATCTTGCCTGGCACAGTCTGAAAGACTGAGGCGGAAGATTTATAGTAGATACAGACTAATAATAATCTAATGGGTATCAGTATATTCTTCTTGCATAACCGGGCACTAGTGCCTTATGAATGCCTGTGTCTATAGGCACAAAAGTGCTAGGCATTATTAAAAGCATAGGCACAAAATGCTAGGCACAAAGTGCCAGGCACAATTAAATAATAAATATCAAATTTCTGTGTCTGTGCCCATGCCTGAATTTTCGTGCCCATGCCC